AACAACAACAACAACAACAACAACAACAACAACAACAACAACAACAACAACAACCTATTCTGATGCCAAACATTTTCCTGCAAGACGTCCCCGTGATTAAAATAGTTCTGTGGAAGCACAGACTGAAGTCAAGAGTTGCAAGTGAAAGGCTGTCGCACACTAAATTTTTCATTGAACCACCTGGTTCACTCCTGAGAGGGAAGGAGGGATCTTAAGTCACCCTCAGCTCACCTTCCACTTTTGACCCTTCTCCTGTCAGTGAACTCAATTCATTGGAATCCAAAGATGTAGACAAACAGAAGTGGAAATCCATGATTTAGAGACAGTTTTGTATCCTTCACATCCTGAAGCCGGAGTGGTTAACAGACTGCAATGCTCCATGTGAAGCAGAGGCTCTCTTGAATCAAACCTTTTCTCCGGACTTACTAGCATCCTTTTAGGCGAACTACTTTCTCTCCACTTCAGTTCCCCGCTTTGCAGTATGAGGAGTGGAGGGATAATAGTGGTGCACCTTACAGTGGGTGGTGGGTGGGCAATGTACTGAAGATTATGATTACAACCACAATAGCATCACCGTGGGAAGCTGACAGATATATATATGCTATGGAATTTAAGTAGTCACGAGCGGTACATTGTTTGCTTCATGATCTCCTTTTACTGGATATAGAAAAAGCAGTAGTATTTCATATTCTAGCCTACTGAAGACAATGCATATGACTCAGCATGATGCCTATAAGCAACTTCTTGTGACTTGTGGGTTTTATAGATATTTTTTATGAGTTTTGTAACACTGCTTAAATTAAAAATAATCTTTCAAAAAGGAATTTTACCTTCAGTGTTATTTTGGCAGAAAATGCCATATAATCAAGCTTATAAGAAATGGTTTATAACACTTAGCCTAACTATCTGTCTATAACATATCTAAACTGGATGTATGTAAGTTAATATGTTCTTTTTAAGGCATGGAGTCCATTCAGAACTCTGGCGCTGGGCAATCAAACCTGCAAATGAAGCCCATGTTTACTTTCCAATTGACCAATCACAAAACAAGAGCATGCTAACTTGCAGAGGGGGGGGCAAGCACATGCCAGAGCAAATAGATGTAGTTTACCATTGCAGGGACCCCCTCTTCTATTGTTGTGCTAATGGTATCCTAAAGGTCAGTGGTTCCCAACCTTGGGTCCTACCAGATGTTCTTGGCCTACAACTCCCAGAAATCCTGGCCAGCACAGTTAGTGGTGAAGGCTTCTGGGAGGTTTTAATCCAAGAACACTTGGGAATCCAAGGTTGGGAACCCAAAGTTGCGCATGGCAACTGCTTTTCTTGGAGAATGCTCAGCACCATCTTTTTGTTCCAATTTGCAGGAGAATTTTTACTGGACTCTCTGGAACGGATCAGTGTAGTTGAATTGTTGTATTTGGGTGAGACTGTTAGCATGTTTGTCGTGCTCCCATCTGACAGAAGAACCCCACTAGCTAAAGTTGAGGTGCACCTTTCATCAAGAACCTTCCTATTGTGGTCCAACAGCTTGAGAAGAACAAAGATGGATATCTTTCTCCCCAGGTAAAATATAAACATTTATGAAGTTGCATGGTCTTTTTGATTATAGCACAGTACTTGTTTTGTTGTGCAAGTATGTGGGGAGTACATGTAAAAATTATGAGTATGGTGGGAATGGTAGACGATGATGTTGCAATGAGAAGAGAGAGGTAGGAGTGTGGAACACATAGGCTACAGCATCTTCTGACTGGTTTCAGAGCTTGTCAAATTGACAGGATTTCCCAGAGCTCTGAGACTGGTCTTGGTGGGTTTTAAATAGCTCAGCAAACTTCCAAAAATGTCATTTTAGGTTAGGAGCAGGTATTGAAAAAATAAAATATAAGCTCCTTTCATATTCAGATTCAAATTGGTGAGCCAAAAGAGAGCAATCCACTGCCCAGTCTAAAAGTCACATATGATATTTCGCTACCATATGCCTATGGTAGTAGGCATAAAGCATGTGAAAATACAGAAAGCAACCCATAGTCTAAATCATGCATGGACAACTTCAGGACCTTCAGATTTTGCCAGTGACACTTCTGTCATCCTTTCCCCATTGGCTATGCTGACTATATAAGAGTTCTTTTTAAACAACATCTGGAGAGACACAGGTTGCCCACTCCTTGTCTAAATGATTCACATGTAATGATACAGGGAGGACTGCAGATGTTAGCAGAGCAGACAGCAACAGCTAATTTAACTTGTGGATTCAGCCTCTGAGAATCAGAGTGGTTAGCAGAGTACACTGTCTCCTCTGCAAAGAAACCACATACACACACCTTAGCCTAGGAAAATAAGAAAGCTTGAGTTTCTTATACATGGAAATGGGAAAGATAGCTGGAACCCTAGTTCTAGCTAACTTGGGGATGCACAGAGCCATGACTCCTCGCACACCTATTCAGAACATCGGCAAATGCTTCTGTGAGAAGAGGTGTGATATTAACATCTGGACATGGCTGAAATCCTGATGCTTAGTATGGAAAGTCAGAGCTAGAGTAGATGCATTGAATCAACGAAAATTACAGAAGAGTCAGTTCACCAAATACCCACTGATTCAATAGGCCCCCTCTATCTGTGACTTACTAAGCTATGCAAAAGGATTTCAGCTAGTAAAGTTTAGCATGTATTCTTAACCTGCTGCCCTGGGCATTTGCGAACCAAGCACAAAAAATAGAACAGAACAAAACCAAACCACAAAATGACAATGTTTGAGTGGTATATCCAAAAACATCTGCCTGTCTTCTTTTCAGATTCAGAATTCAAAACCACATTGACCTAAAGGCTGTTTTGCCTGCATTAGGAATTACTGACATGTTTGATCCGACAGAGGCTAATTTCAAAGACATTTCAGGTAAATCCGCTACTTGTCTAATGTGTGTTCAATCAATGGACTGGATTGCCTTTTGTGTCAACTATTCAGCACAACACATCTTCTGACTTAAGATGGGGAACTTTAGTTCTCCAAATATCTGGACCTCCAGCTTCCAGCTACCCTATCCACTATAATCCATGGAAGAAGAGTGGGAGGGTGTGAGCAGTTTCACCTTCCAGTTTTCAAAGGGATAGTTGTGTTACATGAGTCTTTATAGGCTGGTGTTTAAGGTGCCACTCAGCTTTTTAAAAAAACTTTATCTGTCTATCTGTTCTGACTGTCTATGTCCTATCCCCAGGCCCTCTAGGGCAGTTTCTTCTTTAATAAGTAAAGTTGTTGGGAATTTACATAGATAAATGTGATCCTTATTATTTGTCTTGTTCTGTTGTGATTTTGCTAGATGAGGGAAGTCTCTACATCTCAGAAGCCATCCACAAAGCAAAGATTGAAGTGGCAGAAGATGGCACAAGGGCCTCAGGCACTACAGGTAAACTAGACAGATATTACAAATGTATTAACCTGGACAACAGCAACTGCTTATTAGGCACATTGTGTTTAGTTTATAAATACTTATTCCTTAATCCCACATTCTTGGCTCTTCTGGGAGGCAGTTTGCTACGGGGATATTCTAGTTGGATGTCATGTGCTCCAGACTCCCAAGCCATGTAGGGAGCGACTCAGTGGAACAATGATAGCTGGACCTTGGATTGAAGTTTCTAGGCTCTGTAGCCAAGGGGGTCCTATAAAGAGCAGCATGAGATGGAAGCAGTGAGGTGAAACAAGGCTGGCATCAGCCTCTAGGACAGCACGTACATAACAGGGCTCACCAAGCAGTGGAAGCTGGTGACTGATTTCATTGGCGTGGTGAATCTGATCTGGGCTTTAATCCAACCATGGAAGGAGCTAGCCATGGTGCTAATATTGGGGGCTAGAACTCAACACCTTGGATAGCTCCTGTGAAGTCTGTAAAACGCAGAGTGTACAGTATTCACAATCCTCAAGAAATTGGAGTCACCATCAGCCTCCACTGCCACCGAGGCTGACAGAATCTTAAACGGAAGCACCTACAGTATTGCCCATGCTCCTGTCTGTACTTATTGACATTAGAACAGAGACATTTTCTAAAGGGAAAGTGGGGTTAGTTATTGGCTTTTTGTGAACCTTCTGCAAATAAGCATAAGGAAATAATAAAGCCACCTATTCACTAATTGCTTTATACCACAGCTATGGTGCTGCTGAAAAGATCACGGTCTCCTGTCTTCAAAGCTGATAGACCTTTCAATTTCCTCCTATGGCAAGCCAGAACAGGTAAGGAAGAGCTAAAATGTACCTTTTGATACACCATTGTTGCGGTTGCAAAATGCAATCAACTTCCCTGTTGCTTAGCTTGAAGTAAATTATGTAATTTAAGAAATTAGCATATAAATCATCAAACCTTTTGAACAGGTCAATATATGGGTGAGTTTGCTCCTATCTTACTTAGCAGGATTCAGTGCATTCAGCTAAAATGATCACATCTAAAATTATGCATATACTGTATTTTCATTATTGTTTTCTAACTTCCCCCCATTAGGATTCAGTTACTGGCCTTTGCCATTATTTACGTACCATTGCTAGCCATGCAACATTTCACATTTGCTGAATACAGGCCTTCCACTGACATTGATACAATGCAGTGAAAATGAAAAACACAGAAAACATTATACTAATTCAGACATCTTTTCTATTCCATGTGTTCTCAAGAGCACTACTTTAAGCTCAAGTAAAACCTGCAAAACAATTTCAAAGATTCAGAATGGTGACTGTGACAGTCCTCTCATTGGAACTGGTCTTTATCCCATGAATGGGAATGCATACTGGGAAACATCACTCAGCCAAAGACTATGTGTTACGCTTTGCACATAAAATTTCCAAACCCAAGAGGGATGCTTGTACAAAAAAGTGCCACCAGATGCAATCTCGGGCCTATGAAAGACTTGTACCATGGCCCCTGGCTCTCTGAGCAAAGGATTCCCCTCCTTTTGCCCATCCAGAACTAGGTTAAAGAGGAGGCAACTGACTTGGGGTTATCTCTGTTTCATTTTTTAAATGTCCTGTTAAATACTGCTTGTTCGCTTCTTTAGGAACACCTTTTCATCATTAGCTATATTGGATAAACACTATAAGTTATTTACTAATACTCTAATCGTTAAACTGAGAAAATCAATATTGTAGCCTACTTATAATATATTCTAGAAGCTAGAATATGGACATTTTTATTTCCAGTTCCAAACATGACTCATTTCTAAGTGTAGCTGTGCAGTACGTTTGACTCCCCAGTCTCTTAGATTTGCTTATTCTGATGCATAAATCAATCAATAAATTTAAGTGCTTACACAAGATGGAGTATATTCCTAAAAGGATGCTCAGTTTACAAATTATATGTTTGTTTTCATTCTTTCCAGGTTCAGTTCTCTTCATTGGAAGACTTACAAATCCTTCAGAGTAAACATGTAAAATGCAGGCTTCTATCACTCTGCTTTTTCAGTTCCTCATATTGTGCTTGATTTAAACAGTGCCTTTTCAGTTGCGTGAATATTAAGAGGAATTGGTGGGAAGCTTAGAACTGTAAATAAAGAAGGATGGTTTTTTGCCATTTGTATAGAGGCTTTATTTTATTCAAGATCCTTATACATAGTTTCCTCAAAAATGCTTTCTGGTAGAATGACATACATTGTGCCATTCTGTGATTCCACTTACAGGTATATTAGAAAAATGCATCCAGGGAAGCTGCAGCATGAAGAGGATAATCTTTTTAACCCTTTTGCTATAGGCGCAACAGGGCCTTCTGCTAGCTGCTTTTACCCCTACTGCAGAAAAAGGGTGGAAATCTATGGAAGGACCCCTTCTTATGAGCCTTCTTCAGAGCTTGTAGCAAAGGTTCTCTTGCTATTGTGTACTTGGTCTGTTGGTTTGGACTTACAGGGCATCAAGAAGTTTTCATGGAGAATATTTTTGATCTCAGCTCTGCTGAGCATTTCTTTGTCCAAAGACAAAACCTTATAAGAGGGCCATCATAGCCTCTGTGCCTCCATGTGTCACAGAAGACAATCTTAAGGAACCAAAAGTAATAGGGAACAGTGGGCAGATGTTCTAAACGCAAGGGGTATGCCTTCTCCTATGCTCCGTTGATACAGTGGTGCCTCGCTAGACAGTTCCCCCGCATGACAGTTTTTTCGCTAGACATTGACTTTTTGCGATCGCTATAGTGATTCGCAAAACAGTGATTCCTATGGGGAATTTCGCTGGACAATGTTTGGTCCCTGCTTCGCAAACCAATTTTCACTAGACGACGATTTTGACAGCTTCCTCCATGCTCGCAAAACAGGTGTTTTCGGGACCTAAGCTTCGCAAGACAGCAATTTAAACAACTGATAGGCGGTTCGCAAAGCGGCTTTCCTATGGCCGATCTTCGCTAGACAACGACGATTCTTCCCCATTGGAATGCATTAAAAAGGTTTCTATGCATTCCAATGGAGAAATGCTTTTCGCTAGACAATGATTTTGCTAAACAGCGATTTCAGTGGAATGGATTATCATCGTCTAGTGAGGCACCACTGTATATGTATAATATTTACTCTGAGGTTAAAAGTCTCCAGAAACATCAACGTCTGAAAGAAAGGAAGCAAACTTGGCACTACACCTCTGGAACTGCTCAACACTTGGAGGAGAAGGGTGGACGTAGCAATATATAACGTAACAAAATAGAAGACTGCAAAAACAAAGGTACACACTACCAAGAACATTGGATTCATGCAAAATTTTCACAGAACTTCATATCTGAGAAACTGGACTTGCAAAAACAAACACAAAAACTACCAAAAAAACAACCAACCAACCAACCAACCCAACCCAACCCCCCCCCCCGGTTTAACTCTAGCAGATCAATAAAAAACAAAGAAACCTATCAGGGATGTTGGCAGGTCAGGAGTTCCTATGTCTATTTTAGTGTCTGTGAAAAAAGGTGTGTCTTTCACAGACACTAAAATAGACATAGGTACACCTGGTCCAGGGGTTTAGATGCTTCTGTTAGTTTTGAGAAAATAGTTTATCTGAAACCTCAGATGTAGAGGAGCGCTCAGAGTCTGAGTCACAGGATTGTTCTAACCAGGTTCTCGGTCCACATACTGCTGAAGCCTGTACACCTGGGGGTTTAGATGCTTCTGTTAGTTTTGAGAAAATAGTTTATCTGAAACCTCAGATGTAGAGGAGCGCTCAGAGTCTGAGTCACAGGATTGTTCTAACCAGGTTCTCGGTCCGGTCCATGCTGAAGCCTACCTTGGAGGATTTTGAGCATAACCTTGCTAGCGTGTGAAATGAGTGCACTGGTACGGTAGTTGGAGCATTCTTTGGCACTGCCCTTCTTTGGGATTGGGATGTAGACTGATCTTTTCCAATCCTCTGGCCACTGCTGAGTTTTCCAAACTTGATGGCATATTGAATGTAGCACCTTAACAGCATCATCTTTTAAGATTTTAAATAGTTCAACTGGAATGCCATCACCTCCACTGGCCTTGTTGTTAGCCAGGCTTTCTCCCATTTTTGTCCTTTATCATGTCCATCTTTGCACAAAATGTTCCTTTAATATCTCCAATTTTCCTGAAGAGATCTCTGGTTTTCCCCTTTCTATTATTTTCCTTTAAATCTTTGCACTGTTCATTTAAGAAGGTCCTCTTGTCTCTTCTTGCTATTCTTTGGTAGTCAGCATTCAATTTTCTGTAACTTTCCCTATCTCCCTTGCATTTTGTTTCCCTTCTCTTCTCTGCTATTTGTAAGGCCTCATTGGACAGCTACTTTGCTTTCTTGTATTTCCTTTTCTTTGGGATGGTTTTTGTTGCTGCCCCCTGTACAATGTTACGAGCCAACACCCATAGTTCTTCAGGCACTCTGTCCACCAAATCTAGCTCCTTAAATCTATTCTTCACTTCCACTGTGTATTCATAAGGGATTTGGTTTAGTTTATACCTGACTAGCCCAGTGGTTTTTCCTACTTTCGTCAGTTTAAACTTGAGTTTTGCTATAAGAAGCCGATGATCAGAGCCACAATCGCCTCCAAGTCTTGTTTTTGCTGACTGTATAGAGCTTCTCCATCTTTGGTTGCAGAGAATATAATCAATCTGATTTCGGTATTGCCCATCTGGTGATGTTCATGTGTTGTTGGAAAAGAGTGTTTGTGATGACCATCTTGTTCTCTTGACAAAACTCTATTAGCCTTTGCCCTGCTTCGTTTTGAACTCCAAGGCCAAACTTTTCTATTGTTCCTTTTATCTCTTGCCTCCCTATGTTAGCATTCCAATCCCCTATAATGAGAAGAACACCTTTCTTTGGTGTCAGTTCTAGAAGGTGTTGTAAATCTTCACAGAATTGGTCACTTTCACCCTCTTCAGCATCGGTGGTTGGTGCACAAACTTGGATTACTGTGATGTTGAAAGGTCTGCCTTGGATT